AGGATAATTTTGATGTCCACACATTCTAGGATGACTCATCTGTTTAATTCACTTTTTGAAGTACACATAACTCTCGGATTTAAATCCGAAGTTTCCACATTTATTTTATATTAAACAGAGTATTGCTGAATCTGATTTCGACGTGATCTTAAATCAATCATATGAGAACTCTCAACTGAAGTATTCAAACATCGATCTATCTAAGCCGATCAAACGTTCTATGTTTTCAAGTATTAAACATGATCATACTTATTGCTTAAATGATCATGCTGGAATGAAATCGCCTAAACGTCGAAGATTTTCATCAGTATCTTTAGTATCAGTTTCGAAAAATTAATTATCATTGTTTCATGCATCTCATTTCAGGAGTCTATTGATGGTCAACTTATTTTTCAATCACCTTATGCATATTCTTCACCGAAACATGACAAGACAATACATACTCGAACACAATCAACTTTGTGAGTTTACCATCTATTTTCAATCATAGATAATAAATCGTTTGTTTTTCAGAAAACACCTTTACCACTAACAACATCAACAGCTCGTTTTAGAAAGTCTTATGGAAAAGCAAAACCTCGTGATCGAATAAACCATTATTGACCGTTTATGTTGGTTTTTCATTTATTGTTTTTCTTGTTAATTTCTCATGTGCTTACTTTTTTTGTAATCTTTGTTTTTGGCAATAGTGCCATGTGTTTTATTTTTTTTGTTCTTATTGTTATTTATAAAATTCCTCAACACTTTTGACAGATTTTTTTTCTCAATTAAATTTTTTTGGCAATTTGTATCATGACAGAAAAAAGATTTTCTTTATACGGTGATGGCATTTGCATATGAAGTACTTGCAGATTGGATTGAATGAAATCACTTAAAACTGCATTCTCAATAAAAAAATTAAGGTGAGGAGAGATGCAGTAGTATTTGACGTTCTGTTGTTTTCGAGCAACTCTATGGATATTTAATGTAGCGCCCTCTATTCTTTTTATTTGCGTCTGTTCTCTTACATGCCTCTTTTTTTTCAAAAACCAAAAACACAGTTCGATAGAGATTTTTTTTCTCTATCTACTAGTATCGAAGTTGTTTCGGGCCCCACCAAAAAAACAAAGAACCAATCATAGAGTATTTCCTATTGTTTCGCTTATTCCATCATGCTTTGTCGGGTGAGAGTAGGCACTATTTTTCCTCTTTTTTTATATGACATTTTTTGGTAGAAGCTTTTTTTTCTTTCTGTCAACAGTAGTACACACTGAGAGCAGAGAATTTATGCGGGTAAGATCTTCAGCTTGATGACACATATTACAATGAATCGGGAGCATTGCCAAAGCATTACTGAAAATATTATATTCTTGATTTCTTGCATTTTATAAGTATACAACACCGATTGTGAAGTATGCGACCGTTTGAATTTTTTATGATTTCTATCTATGAACTAGAAATGGAAATGGTTGCCATCGCAAGCTCAATGGGTGGAATTTCGGCGAAGACAGTTTGACAAGCAGCTAAAAAAGGTCGAACTTTTTTTAGAAACGACTTTTAGAAAAAATCCCTCCCAATTTGATATAATTAAGGGGTCCATATAAAAAATATTCATGAGAAGTTATCTTTTTGAAGAAAATCTGAGCGAAAATAATTGATATAATGAATGTTGTCATCACTTTTTCACGCTTTCTGACAAAAACATGCGATACCTTTGCTTCTCATTGTCAAACACAGAGTTAACAAAGAAAAGTTTAAAAAAATTTTCAATCAGTGAATGTCCCATATTTGACGGTACGCTCCTCTCGGAGCGCTATCAATGCTCATAAGAAATGAATGAATTAGAATATTATAACAGTACATTTCTATCAGATAAGCAAAATATTGTTCGCATTAATTTGTGTCAGAAAAAGTCAGATAATGTTCTCAAAAACATACAGTAAAACCTATTTATTGCATTTACATTTCGATTGTGTTCATCTTATGACCAAATCATGTTTTTTTCCCGTGACTCATACAACACACTTATATAATCCAACGACATTTGTTCCTGGATAAATACTATGACCTTGTTAATGATATATGAGAAAGATTACTAAATAAAATAAAAGTAAATATGCTTTTTCTTTTTCTTTAAAATATTCTTATCTCATTACATCATTTAGTTGAAGATAAATATTATCAAAATTCCTTCTATATAATGATCATATTTCTAGATACTCGTAAATCATACAACTATATTCGCTTTGGAATTTCGATTATTTGAATAGATGTCTTTACACAGCTTCAGTTTAACAAAAACATGTGCGATAATGGGCTACGGCGCGTTTTTCTGGGGTCTAGGTGTATTGGCGGTTCGTCATGCAGGACCACATATGTTCCATACCAATCTAGGTCGCTGTGTTACGGCCGTTGCTTCATTACCAGCTGTTTACATGCTAGTACCTATTACTGAAGCATTGCTATCTCTTAAGTCGCAAGAAAGTCTTCCTGCTATGGCACTCGCTACGGGTGTTGCATGTATTCTTGATGGCATCGCTCACACATGGTTTCCAACTGCGTATGAAAATCCAGCATTACAGAAAAAAAATCCGCTGGCAGCTTGTGTCATTTCAAGATATGGATCTGGCTGGTTATTGTATCTTGTCGGCATCTTTCTGACAATGCTTGTATTCAAATAAAAGTTTAAATGATGAAAAGATATCTGTTCTATATTGTCTTACTGAACATCACTTTAATTCTACGACATATTAATTAGGAGTGCAGATGACATAATCCTAAAATTTAATTTTGCTTTCTCCTAGAATATCCTATAGAGTACCAATGTATGCTATAGAAATGTGAATGAAACTATACCTCTAATATTGTAAATGTCTTGAATAACTAGTTTTTTTTTATATTTTAATCTCGATATATATCCTTTTAGGTTTGTTTGTAATTTGCTGAATAACATTAAAATAAATGATAAATTAATTATGTTTTGAATTTTTTATTTTACTCTAAGTTCGGAATTGAGATAGAAAAACATCTATGCACACATTCCTTGATTCTTTTACACAGAAGATCAGTAGAAGTTTTTTATTGGTTTATTAATTGTATATTCATGGAGGATTTCCGGCAATCATGAGCTTATGTCTCGTGTTGGTGAGATTTAATGAATGTTATCTAAGTGATGAATAATATAATGAATAATTTATAGAAAACCAAGACAATCTTAATAGTTGTTCAATAGGCCTCGGGTATCTCAATAGTTTAGTAAGGTCCTTTTGTCTTCATGATTAATGCGATCTTTCAGATTTAAAGAAGCAAATGATTGCAAAAATATCTTCATAGTGATAGGAAAAATTTTAACCATTTTATTTACTTTCAGTTTCTGTTTAACGAGATAGCGCTTGTGAACTTAACTTTTAATCATTCGGCTTTACTCACAAATCAGTTCTTGTGCACTTTTCTGAAAGTAACAAGATTGAATACCTATTTATTGTAAATTTTCCTGTTTGAATAATTTTTTTATCGTTATGTGTTTTAATGCGGTTGTTTACCTTTTTGTTTCTCTTCAAATGCATTCGAATAAGTGTGGAATCAATTGCTATCCTATTATGAAAAGGGATGCGTGTACTAAAAGAAGTGTACTTCTCAATGTTTTTAGAATATCTCAGTGAAATAACGAGATCGATATTTACATCTTTTGTCTTTAAAATATAGCTTGTGTAAAATCTCATTTGAGTCGCATGGATAAAGTGCCATTATAATACATGATTAAGTCGAAAATAATCAATTTCAATGTACTGTTTAGTCGTTGTATGTTACGTCGGTGACATGACATTTCCACTATTTCGAAAAAATTATTTAAGAAGAGTTTTGACCAGAAAATCATTTAATATCCAAGAAATTTTATTTGTTTAAGAAGGTTAGGCTACTCTTAAAATCAAACAGTGTCAGGTCGACTGTTTCGCGAGTATACTAACGGATTAAAACATGCGGCGCTTGAGAAAAATGAAGAATATTTTCCAAATGAAAATTTTTACTTGTTGATAAGAGTATCAAGAAGAGTCATGTACAAATATATTATGTAAAAATATACTAGAAGTTTTTTGCATATCTGGTCTATGCTAGATCGTCGTATTGATGTGGACAACAGTCGTGTCCTATTTGCTCGATAATTATCTAATATGAGTGACATCTTTTTTTGTATATCTGTCTTAAGTACAGTAAATGTACAATGTGTTTGATTGCTTCATTTGAGAAATTAACCAACTTGTTTTTCTTCTTTTTTCTTTTGACATTTTTTGATAAGAGCGTTTTTTCTTTCTGTCAACAGTAGCGCAGATTTGTAGTAGAGAAAATTAGGAAAATAAGATCTTCGTGTCGATGACACATATTAGAATGATGCGGAAACGCTTCCACAACTTATTGAACACTTGAAATTCTTGATTTCTTGCATTTTATAAGTACAGAAGACCGATTATTGAATATGCGATCGTTTGTACTTTTTACGATTTATATGTATGAAATAGAGATGGAAATGGTTGAAATCGCACCTTCAATCGGTGAAGACAGGTTGAAAACCAACTGAAAAAACTCGAACTATTTTTAACAAAGATTTTTAGAAAAAATGTCTTCGAGTGTGAAATAATTTAGGAGTCTATTTAACAGGCATTCATCATAAATTAACGTTGTAAAGAAAACCTCGGCAAAATTGATTGATGTAAGAAATGTTTTGAGCACTTTTCAGCTTTATGATAGAAAAAAATGTGAGAGTTTAGCTTCTCATGATCAAATATAGAGTTAACAAAGAAGATTTTTGAAAATTTTCAAGCAGTGAACGTCCCGTATTTCTCGGTCCGCTCCTCTCGGATCGGTTTTGAACGCTGATATGAAACGAATGAATCAGAATATTTTACTAGCATATTTCGATGAGACATCTGTGATTTTGTTCATATCAATTTGTCTGAGACAAAGTCAGATAATGTTGTCAAAAACATACAGTAAAACATATTGATTACATTTTCATGTCGATTTTGTTAATCTTGAAAATAAATCACGTTTATTTCTGTGACTAATACAGCAGACGCTTATATAATGTGATGAAATTTGTCCTTGAATAAATACTATGACCTTATTAATGATATATGAGAAAGATTACTATATAAAATAAAAGTAAATATACGTTTACTTTCTCTGTCAAATATTCTTATTTTATGACATCATTTAGTTGAAGATAAATATTATCAAAGTTTCTTTTTTTATAATGATCATGTTTCAAGGTACTCATAAATAATACAACGTCATTCGCTTTCAAGTTTTGTTGAGTTGATTAGACGGCTTTACATAGCTTCAGCTTAGCAAAAACATGTGCGATAATGAGCTACGGCGCGTTTTTCTGGGGTCTAGGTGTATTGTGGGTTCATCATGCAGGACCACATATGTTCCATACCACTCTAGGTCGAAGTGTTACGGCGGCTGCTACACTACCAGCTGTTTACATTATAGTGACTGTT